GGTAAGTAGGACAGCCTGGCTGGCCGCTACAGTCTCTTCCCACTAGGCAGCATCCCCTCCGTCGACCTGGTCTCCAGACACCTCTCCCCTCCGCCGCTCCGTGGTCTGGGTTTCATTTAACACCTCCACCAGGTCTGCGCAGTTCTCGCACATCGTTCAGCTGCCGCCCCCTCCATTATGGCATAGTAGAACATATAATTGTCTATTTCAAATGGAAAATAACGGTCCATTTCAGCTCTCTAATGCCTAGGCTATTGATTTTTATCACTCTATTTTATTTTTTATGACTTCCATTTTTTTCTAGATTCATACTTTGTACATTCTATATTCCAGTTATGAATCGATGTTTGTAGCTGTGTCTTCTCTTCTTGAGTCATGCAACATCTGCAGATGAAGGCCCACCTTTAGTCCAGCCACCTTATTAAGGCTTGCTCTAATTTGAGGAGGCAGCTCTTCCTTGGTCATATTTTACATGCCTTCCAATCTGAGTGGCTTATCATCTCTCACTGTATCAGGCAGTATTCCACTGGTATTCATGAGATTTTCCCTAGGCAGAGTTTTCAGAAGTAGATCACCAGTTCCTTCTTCCTATCCTGTCAGTCTGGAAGCACCAGTGAAATCGTACGCCATGGGTGACCCTGCTGGTATTTGAAATACTGGTGGTATAATTTCCAGCCACACAGCACCACACAGGCCACCCCAGTATGGCAAACTGACAGATGAGCGGTGGCAGGAGGCCTTGCGGAGGCACAAATCATTTCTTACAGCAAGTTCTCACTCTAGCACTTACATAAACCTGAAGCAGTTGTTTGGGAATGTACTACCATTGCCAGAGCAAGTCCATCTTCATTTATTCGAGGTGGAGAATAAATTAACTACTGGGATTTTACCATAGGCACTTTAGTCTTTAACATGGATTTTGAGTTTGAAGCAGCCTTAGCTCTCCATCAGCCAAGTGAAGAATAGACTTTTGGTTATTATATGTGTCTTATACCAAAAGGAGGCTGTATAGATGCTCTTCTTATCCTTTTTTTTTTTTTTTTTCCCATTCCATTACTGACTTAATGTCTAATTATTGTTAGATATGTAGAGTTTAGTTCAGAAGATTGATTTAAATTGTCTTTCTCATCCCAATCTAGATATCCACTAGGAAATTTGTGAGCTAGTAGGATTATCACAGGATTTCAGTTCTCATTAATTAATAGCCTGAGAAGGCAGCTTTCATACAGTATAGAGAGAACACTTAACTTGAAATCACAAACTGGGTTTACTCCTAACCATACTACTTTATGGCCTTTGGCAAACAGCTTAAATTCTTTGAACTTTAATTGGTTATCTGTTAAGAAGAAGAAGAAACAAAAATGCCTCTATTTTAGGCTTATTTAAGAAAATCATATGAACGCATCCTAACATAGTCCCTGATATGTAATAGTTTTTTGGTGGTGGTGATGGTTATGTGCCATGGAGTCGGTTCCGACTCATAGTGACCCTGCACAGGGTTTCCGAGGCTGTAAATCTTTACAGGAGCAGAAAGCTTACTATTTCTCCTGCAAACAGCTGGTAGTTTCAAACTTCACAGCCCGATTAGTAATCACTATGCCACCAGAGCTCCTTAGGTTAAATTTATTTCTTAGATGTATAGATACAATTATTGTTGTTGTTAAGTGTCATCGAGTTGTTTCCGACTCAGAGTGACCCCTGCATAGGGTTTCAAGGAGCGGCTGGTGAGCTTGAACCACCAACCTTGCTGTCCAATGCTTATCTTACAATGCTACACCAGACGTTTTAATTTTTAAAACGCTGCAAAAATGACCATGTATTCTTTGTGTGTGTGGGGGGGGGGATGGGGGGGAGTCATTTCTGAAAAGAAAATGTGCCGTTTGATAGCATGTGGTCTCTGTCACAGATTATGCCTACCAAATAGAGGAAATCTGCAAAATGGGTTAATATTTCAGAAAAAGCTTTTACTCTACACTCATAATACAATTAAGTCAGAATATCTTTATTGCAACTATCCAGATTCAGTACAAATTTAATTTTTGCCATGGGCAGGTTACTATGAAATTTAATTTATGTTAATTTGTCCCAAACTTAGGAGAACAAGAAATGCAAGTGTTTTTTAGAATTTGATTCTATGCTAGAGAAATCAGTGTTTTGTAACATATTTCTAGATATAGATTTAGGAACACCTGGGTGGTATATGCACTTGACTACTAGGTTAAAGGTGGTGGGTCAAACCCACCCAGAGGCACCTCTGAAGGCAGGCCTAGTGATCTGCTTCCGAAAGGTCACAGTCTTGAAACCCTGATGGAGCAGCTGTACTCTGTACATGTGAGTTTGTCAGGAGTCAGAATCGATTCAATGGCAGCTAAAATCAACAGCAATATACAGATTTAGATTCCTTATCATCTTGTTCTTTCAGGAAGTCAAAACTCATCACCATGAGAATCATAGATAGTAGATGAGAATCATAGAAAATAGATCAGTGCTTAGTGTATACTAGGTGCCAACAAGCCATATGGAAATTGGGAATTCGTAATGTGTCAGACTGCAAAGTCATTTGAACTGCAAGGTCGGTGGTTCAAGCTCACCATCTGCTCCTTGGAAACCCTATAAAGGGTTGTTATGGGTCAAAATTGACTCGACAGCACTTAACAACAATAAGGTATATAAGCTTGTTGTTAAGTGCCATCGAGTCAGTCCAACCCATAGCGACCCTGTAGAGGGTTTCCAAGGAGCAACTGGTGAGCTTGAACCGCCGACCTTGCAGTTCAAACCAACTTTGTAGACCAGCACATTAACCCACAGTGCCACACCAGGACTCCTGTATGAGCTGGGTGTGTCAGTTTATTGAATATGTACAACGGGATGAGTTACAGAATGAGTCAGGTGACTCAGGTTCAAATTTTAGCCACACTGGTTATTAAATGGGTTCCTTTAAGCAAGGCCTTTTTCTTTTCATCTGAAATTGTTTCAATAATAATTATTCATGGGATTGTCGTGTTAATTGAATATGATATATTAAAACCTGTTAATATGTTATATTAGTCAAAAGTTAAGGGACCAATATTACGCTTGCCTATTGGTTTGCGATCGCCTGCTGCCTTCAAAGTTGGCAGTTCGTACTCACCCTTTAGTTCTGAAGAAGAAAAGTCTGGCAAACTGCTTCTGTGAGGATTATAGCTCAGCAAACCCTATGGAGCAGTTCTACTCTGTAATATGTGCAATCATCATAGTCTGTTTGGCTTGTGTTCATGACTTAAAGAGGTTGTTAAAGCTAGCATTAGCCAATATCTCACATAGTGATTCTAGGCCATCTCTACCATTTCTTTTGGAAGGCTTGGGAACACGTGGGCCTTGGTGATCAAATCATGCTTCTTCTGGGCATGTAAAGCAATTGCTAGTAACTAAGCTACTTCGTCATTGATTCAGGGCATTGTCCTGTTAAGAGTGAAGTGGATAGGAAGGGTTCAGTGATAATGTACAGGGTCAATAAGAGTTATTCAAGTGGTAATTGACCACAAGTCACAAAAACAAAATGGTAGAAGGACCTTTCAGGCCTCCCTGAGGCTCACAAAGACTAGTTTTATGACATTTAAAAACTAATCTCAGTTGCAGTGACTATATATAAATATTGAAAAAGGTAGTAAATATTGCATCCTTGAAGATATTGCTTCAGTCATACCAAGCCTCTAAGCTAGGGTAAAAGGAGCTCTGGTAGTATAGTGGGTTATCAGTTGGGTCGCTAATCACAAGGTCAGCAGTTTGAATCTACCAGCTGCTCCATGGGAGAAAGATGAGGCTTTCTGCTCCAATAAAGATTTACAGCTTGGGAAATCCTCCACAGGGTTGCTGGGAGTCGGAACTGACTCCACAGCAGGTAACTACTATCACCCAGGTAGGGTAACCCAGCCTTCCCACAGAGGGAGAAGACTGACCTTCATAAAGATTCCGGTAGTTTCTTTGGGATGCTCTGGTGAGACTGGACCATGAAACCTGCTGGGATCTAGGATGAGGCGATATGTCTGTCATTCCACTAAGCTGCAGAGCTTTCATTTCTCACTCCTTCAACCCCAGATCTGTACCCAGTTCCAGCCCAAGGCCCCCCAGTAATGATAGCACAAATGCTCCTTCCAGAATCAGAGGGATAGAAGCTTCAGGGAACTACCCTACAAGTTCAGCCACAGAAATAGAAAGCTTTAGTATTGCTATCTAATATACATGGGGACTTCAAAAAGTGCATAGGAAACTGGATCTGCAAGAGACTGGCATCTTCCCATGAATTTTCTGAAGTCCCCTTGTATACTTTACTAAACCTGACTCTTAGGGTCATGCTTCGGAACTTGTGAGAAATCCCTTCTCACCTCTCTTCCCTCTGCAGAGTTCTCAAACCATGCTGGCAGTGACACAACACAGCTCAACAGTGTCCTTAGACTGTGCTTCAGGGAGATAGTGGGGAAAAATGGCCTTCCACCTTTTTGGAATTAACTCCATGATTTTTTCCCAATGCCAGATGTTAACCAAGCTTTGCCATAGTTACAGTAGTAAGAAGAACTTCACCTTTATGTCACCAAACCCTCAGTGTTGTGTAACTCCTAGTCATGTTGTTATTGTTAGGTGCTGTTGAGTCTGATCTGCTGAAACAGTGCCCAGCCCTGCACAATCCTCACAATCACTGTTAACCATGTTGTTAAGTGCTGTCGAGTTGGTTCTGACTCATAGAGCCCCTATGTAGGGCTGCCGAACAGCAGCTGGTAGGTTTGAACTGCCAACCTTGTGGTTAGCAGTCCAGTGCTTAGCCTATAGCAACACACCAGGACTCCATAGCATAAGGAAATGATTTACAGGACTCTTTGCATGAACACCTTTGCCATATTTTGTCATTTGCTTAGAATGTCAAACAGGACTCCACTTTAGAATTTGTGGATGATGAATTCCAATGCCAAGAATAAAATACAGCTTTCTCCTTTGTTTTATCTATTATGTTTTCATCTATACAGGCAACAGCCTCAGATCCCAATCACCACAGGAACAGGTGTTGTGTATCCTGGTGCTATCACTATGGCAACTACCACACCATCACCTCAGATGACATCTGACTGCTCTAGCACCTCCGCCAGCCCAGAGCCCAGCCTCCCAGTTATCCAGAGCACTTATGGTATGAAGACAGACGGCGGAAGCCTAGCTGGAAATGAAATGATTAATGGAGAAGATGAAATGGAAATATATGACGACTATGAAGATGATCCCAAATCAGACTATAGCAGTGAAAATGAAGCCCCGGAGTCTGTCAGTGCCAACTGAGGAGTGTTTGTTTGCTGAATTAAAATACTCTGACATTTCATCCTCCCTCCCCCAACAAAAGTTCTTAAAGAGCCCGCATGCATTTGTGGCTCCACAATTACATCAGCAGAATGGTCTTAATTGTTTCGTAACGTGTGAGACAGATTAAGTTTTCCCCGATTTTTCATGAACTTGAGGTTTTTGTTGTTGTTGTTGTTTTTTTTTTGTCTTTATTGTTGTTGTTATATTTTTTTTAATTTAGGTGAAGACATATTAAATATGAGACACCAGGACTTGAAAACTTATCTCAACCCATAGCTGTCTTACAAGTCTTATATTTTTGTCTTACTTTATTATTATTATTTTTTTTCTTTTGGATGTTGATAAAGGTTTAAGTTACTATTTTAGATGGGGTTAAACATTCTCACTCAGGTATGCTGTGCCGGCCTACAGGTTGTGAATGTGTTTTTATTCTGAATTATTTTAGAAAACAACTGAGGATTTCATGTGTTGTGAAACCGAACAAGTCCACGCCGTGTGCAGCTGCGTGTAGAGCATATTCAGAAGGCCTCGGAATTCCATGTTTCCTTCCATATGTAGAGTTCAACTTTGAATGTGCCAAACTTTTTCATAACTTTTGAATCTTAATCTTTTGAAAGTCTTAAAGGAGACACTGCAAAGTCTTAGACAATCTTTGGCATCTTAAAATAAAACAGCAAACCACACCCTTTTTTTTTTTTGCCCAGAAAATGGTAAAGTACTCAGGAATCTGGAGATAAGATATTGTTAAGGAATGAACAAGGTTGCCACAGTGCATGTATCCAATTGTGTTTGCCTTTTGACGTGCCATCAAGTGTATTATGTGCTATGATGTATGCACACCAGACTGATCACCACACCAGATCCCGACATGGTGGTCTTCTACGCCTGAAACCACCTTTCACTACATCCATTATCCCTTTGCCTTTAACCCTGACATTCAGTCTTAAACACATTTTCTCTTAAATAATTTATTCATTCCAGAATGTCAAGGGTCCACTTACTATTTATTTTAAAAAATATATATATTGTTGGTGGCATTAATTTAACAATTCTTGTTTTTCACCTTCCTTCCCAGAAGAACTTTTCAGCCCCTTGTACCTCCTTCTCTTGCTAGATACAAAAGATGTACATAGTAATTTTATGTCCCCAGAGCATCTGGCAGCATTTCTGAAATCAGATACTATTAAATACCTGTATTGTTGTTTCTAAACACAATTGTCTCTATCTGGCTACAGGGTTGGGGATTTGGATATAGGTGTAGAACCTTACTCCTAAATAGGTATATCATCCCTCAAATTCGCTTTGACCTCGAATCTTTGGCCAGAATTTCCCCCTCATTCAGTTCAGCACATGTGCTGGGACAGCAACTGTGGCATTTCCCCAATTCCGTTCAGCTGAAAGGATCAACGGAGGTGACCACCAGGCAGAGGAGTCCCGCAGCCAAACCTGAAGCCCAAGGCTTGCAGGCAGGTCACAGGCGACCACCGTGAGGCTGTCAAGAGTTGCCTCACCCAGCTGCCAGGACTAGGGAGTTCTTTGAAAAACCCTAGTATACAGGTAGCCTTTAAGGAAAGACAGAGGCAAACAGTCCTGAGAATGAAAGAAAACCCTAGGGAAGGAGAAGGGGGGGGGGGCAGGTACATTTTCTATGTGGGATGTTCCTACTGTTAACTCTGGGGAGCAGGTAATTCCCTGGGACAGCAGGAGAACACCCCTGGCCAACTCCCTGCATCCGTGGCCACACGGGGAGCATGTCTAGTATGAACCAGGCTAACTACATCCTTCACACAGCATTTCCCGAGACATGTGCTGATAGGAGTCAAAGGCAGTGAGCTTGGACTCCCCATCTCCTAACTACAGGGAGCTCTACCATACATACCATTTTGACTTTCCTAAACCCAGAACTGATTGCCCATGGGAGACCTCACCAGAGTACTTCAGTGGGAGAACGTCAGTAAATTGGAAAGTTCGCCTCATGGGACAACCCAAATTCTGACCACCAGGTCATAGGAACAGCCCCGTCAGATTTCTTGAGCCATTTTGCCACTTGGAAAAAAATAGGGTACCTGCATATTTCATTACAAGAGTGCTCAAGGCCATACCTAATAGCAATAAATAGGTCTAGCCAAGGTATCGAAGCTATCCCATTAGCTGGGAGTGCTCTCGATAAGCTGATTAAAGGTACTAATAGAAATGTTTTGTTCTTAATATTGGTTGGGGATTGGAACTTTGTTTTTGTACATTTATTTCAAATGAGGAGGAGGTCATTTTTTCTCAAAACAAAAAAATGAGTATTTATTATTGTCTTACTGACTTCTTGGATTATATACCTCTCCTCAGTTCATTTTCACATTTTCTCTTTGGCTTTTGCTCTCTCTCTTTTAAAATATTTTTTTATTTTGTTGCTTAGGTAGAGTGCTGTCTGGCTAGCATTGTATTGTATGTAATTAATTTTGCACAAAGGCAAACATTTAGCATAGTAGGTTAATTTTGTTTGTTTTTATGACCATGCCAAAATAATATTCTGGGCTGGTGGAGAACAAAGGACTGTTCTTTAGGACTGAAACTTGATTTTGCTTGTAGTAAAAAAAGGAAAAAAAAAAAAAAACAAAAAACGAAAAAAAAAAACACACACACTCACAGATGTTGTTTCGTAAGTGTTATAAGCACTGGATATAAATGGTATTTTTTATCACTTCTGACTAATGTGAAACTGTTGTACGAAAACTACACGAACAAAAGTCATCTGTTTCGACTCGTGTGGGCTTGCCTCACAGTTGCCGGATTTGAGTCATTTTTATGTCCTGTTATTTCATTTATTTATGCAAAATACATGTGTGTATGAACACTTTGTTTTAGCTCCAGCTCTGCCTCAGTACTGGGGTTCAGTTACTTTGAGCCATGTTCTCAAAGATGAAAGGCTATTCAGGAATGATCTGATTGTAAACGTCTCTTTCATTGGGTCAAACAGTAATGCTGTATTTGAATCAAAAATCTGTGCATAAGCAATTTATTCTATTTATTAGCCAACTTTGGCTCTAAATATCCGTGGAAATTGAGAATGACAATCATAGGGATCACTTCATTTTTATTTTAAGTGGAGCTTAAAACAAAGGTGTTTTTTTTTTTTTTATATGACTTCACCATCTCATTTTAGACTTTTCTAATTGTGTAAATATAACATAGTAATAGAATTTTATTTTTGTTTCATGAATACATAGTGAGGTTTAAGTTATGTATTTCCTTTTTTATTCTCTAGCCATATGTGCTGGTCCAGACAATATGTTGACAGGTCACTGTGCCTTATGGGGACAGTGACTTATCAGCCAGAAAACAAGGGTGGTGTTGGACATAAAGCTGGGACAGGACACTTTACTGGGTTCTCACATAGACTAGAGCCCACTGTCCAAAGACTCAGGCTCTGCTTTCTTCTTCTTCTAGAAAGTTGATGAATTGAACATTGCAAATGTCTAGTCTGGCTGGGAGAGAGTCAATTTACTTTGCAAGTCCACCTCAAGCTTATAAAATAGTTCTGTGACCATTTATCAACCAGAAGCAAGGATGCTATTAAAGGCAAACCCCCTCCTCTGACATTGGCCATCCACAAAAGCCCCACCATGCCATTTTCCATTAAAGAATGTGAATCAACTGTTTCAGACCTTATCATTTCATAGTATCTTCTAATCAGAAAGAGCAACGATTCCCACTTTGTTAAAGATCTCAGAGGTTTAGGATTTTCCTTCTCAATTAGAATAGGGTCACTAGCAGACAATCCTCTCCTACAAAATGGACCATACAGAATAGAAAGGACGGACGGAAGAGGAAAAATAAGGAGAGAGAAAAACAAAGGAAGTCAATCTTTGGACTTCAGCAACCAGCCAGGCAATCTCTCGACTTCATGGGCAGGCTTGGTGCAGTATCTTTTCCAGAAAGCTAACAAACTTGAGTTGTCTTCATGGACTTCCAGCTGAACCTTTGAGGAGCACATCAGGTGGCTTCCTTTGGTATTTGACACTCTTCAGTCTTGCCCACAGGCCTGATTTGGTTTGCCAGCCTCCTGACATAGACTCCCAGGCCAAATTCTAAATTCAGGTGTTGGGTCACAGAGCTATTGAGCTTGGCAATTTCTGGCCTCCCTTGAACATTAGCCCCACGGGAGCCTGGGGTGTTTGAAAAAGGTGTGATCCTTCTCCAGCTGAAATTACAGGCTGCTTTCTTTCCTTAAGAGGCCAGGCTGCTTGCTCCCGAGAGTCCAGAGCCCAGGCACTAGCTGTAAGTCGGGACTGTTTCGAGGAAGTCTGCCCGCCCCAGGTAGAAAGCAGACTGGTCACTTGGACATTAGAGCTGAGGCGGCTGCTGCTCTCCCTCGCTTTACTCAGTTTGCAAAGAGAAGATCTCTACCTACTCATGGGGAAAGGAAGAATCATTTAGGAGTTTCAAACCATATGCGAAGTCCTATGCCCAGTGCTAACAACTGCAAAGAAAGGCACTGAGAGGAATGTATTGAAATCATTACTGGGTCTTCCTTTTCCAACAAGAAAAATGACAAACATGGTTGCTGTACCCTTTCTTGATTTTGTACACGTTTGTCTAATGACTGAGTTGGCACTTAAGCTCGCTTCTCAAAATATAATAATGTATGACCTCATTTGACCTTTTATAAAAGCACTTGCATCCTTAAGTCATCTGCCCATGACATGGTTTTCTTCCTTAATAATAAACAACTTTAATCTGTTATTCCTGCCAATAATGTTCTATGATACCATGTACTCTTAATATGGCCCTGTGCTAATATCACTGAAAATGTCGATATGCAAACACATTTCCTTTTTATCTCCATCTCATCTTCTCCTTTGGGGACAGACTGCTTTCCAAAAACTCAAGAACAAGTATTCAGAATGCTGGTCCTTTGGGGTAGGGTGGGCGTGGAGAGGGCAGGAAGGTGACGCTCAATGCGGATATCTTCAAATTGGCATGCGTGGCAAAATATGAAAGTTTGAAGGCAACTCAGTGTGACACATCTTGCTTAGTAATTTCCTGTTCCTGACGAATCACAAGCATAAAATGAGGCCTCGATGCTAGTGCTCTTGGAGTATGGGGAATGTGCAAATATTTAACTGTTTTGTATGCTGCACACTGCAGACCTGTTCACGTGCATTCTCCGTTTGTCCTCCTTTGTCATATATGTTTTTACTTTTTTTTTTTTTTTTTGAAAGTGCAGTCTTTCTTGTACCCTTCTCCAGCTTGTAGCAAATTAGAATGCTTAGCATTTATGTTCATTCATTATTGTATTTGCCATGTAAAATTTTTATTACCTTAGACAAGCTTATAAGCTGTTACTACATAACTTATCTTCCTGTAACTCTTTTATTTCCTGACATTGTAATTTGTTTGTGATGTATATTGTGAGATTGTATTCTATGTTAATTTAATCAGCACAATTCACTGACATGCTGGACTGACATGCTGGCTGCTGTTTCCAATTGTAAAGTTTGTGTAGGGCTGTTGGGACAACTGCAACTCTGTTGTCAAGGTACTGTGCTTTGGTTCCCATAGCAACACTGTGGGTGTGGCCCCTTGAAATGCCAAGGGCATTTAACACACCCTCCAGCAAAATTTAACTGCAGATTTTCTTTGTAGAAATTCTATGTATAAAGCAGGTACCTACTTGGCCCATGGCTGGTAACTATTTGGGCAATTAGAAAACAAAACAAAACAAAAAACATAAAACTAGTGTCTATTGCTGCTTTGAATATGTTTGAAAGTCTGAAAATGTAAATAGTTTATCAAAAAAACAAAAACAAAAACAAAAAAACAAACCTTGTACAGTCCAGTGTAAAGTTTTTAAATGACTTTAAGGGTTGCCATCACATCTTTCTCAAACTCTTCTCTTGATAATGAGGGGAAAAAAAAAAAAAAAAAGTTTGCTAAGGATTAAAGAAAATGGAAGCAAAATGAATCTCTTCAAATTTAGAGGAATGAATCATTGTTCTGAGTTTTGTTGCATACACAACCTTCTTGGATTTTGTTGTGCAGTACTGATGTAACATAAAATTCAACATTGAGTAATCCTTCAGTGGTACTTTCCAAAGTCTTACCCCTCCTCTGCCTCATAATTAAGGGAAAAGACAAACTGAAAGACACACTAGCTATCCCGGTATATGTTGGCACCTTAGCTACTTTTTTTTTTTCCCCTTTTTGCACAAGGTGCTTTCCTGATATGTTCAACATGCCATCTTTGGGTGATAATGTATATGCCATGATGGGGCTTAGGTCCCTCAGGGGAGTGTCTATAAGAACTGCCTATTTATGCTCATTTACCTCAAGACTGTCCTCTCTACCCTTAATCTAGTCGTCATCACTCCATCTTTTGTACTGCTGTTGACACTTACAAATTAAAGATAAATTTTGTTTTATGACCTCTGTGTATGGCCTTGTCTGTGCCTTGCAATCTTCCACCATCCAGCCCAGAAATATCTCATTCTGTGGGAGCTTGTGGCTCTCTCCTGCTCCAGCCAGAGCTTCTGCCTGGCCCAGAGGTGGCTTTCAGGTCTCAGAAAGCCTTCGGACCCCTTAGCCTGGAAAAACTTGCCTGCTTTTCTCATTGTGGAACATACGCTGCTGCAGCAGGAAATGCTTATGGATTTAAGTGGGAGGAACAGGATCAAGGTGGAGTTTTGTCAAGAGGGGATGAGAGAGAATGTCATTTCCTATTTGCTTGACTTCTTCATGAGAGAGAAACCATTTATAAAAATCTCAGAGCGTCAAGGGCCGGCCACCCATCTCACACTGACTTCTATTCTACAAGCCTAGTAGCCAAGAGAGGAAAATGCTGCACTTAGGAAGCCTCTCCCTCCACTGTGGTTGGGAGTGGCTGGCTGATTTCTCACTTGCTGCTGCCACAGAGAGAGAAAGATCCCCATCCCATTGTCCAACGCTGAGTTGGAAAGGGAGCAAAGCTTAACTTCAGATTATATTTGCTTCTAAAATGTTTCCACTGTGCTGCTAGAATCTCAGGAATGGAGGCGGAGAAGGGGGGTGAAGAGAGCAGGGTCCTTAAAGGGGACTTGCTGAACCAGCCAAGCCAGTCCTAATGGAGTCCAGGGTTAGTAACCAACACCTGCACAGTGAAACAAAAGTATTCAAGAGACAATTCCAGGAAGAGACAGGGGAAGCCCAGCAACTTCTCCTTAGAGAAAAGTCAAGGATTTGTAGAACTTTCTGTATGCCAATCAAACTGCAAATTTTGATACAAGCTGCTCGAAATCCTGAAAGTCTAGCATTCCCTGAGCCTCCTGTCCTGTGGGGCTTTGAAAGCTCAGGTAAGCATAAGGCATGGGAAAGAACATGGGCTGGGAAGTCACTAACTGGCTCAGCCACTTCAGCTGTGTGACCTTCCCCAGGTAACTTCTCTGAGTCAGAGATTGCGCTTATGAAAACCAGCGTATGGCTCAGGGCTTGGGGGGGCAGTCAACAAAACAGCCTGGCCCACAGCCTGCCTTCTCTCATCTCATAACTACAGCAGGACAGCTTGGGCAATGCGAAGGACTTGCCAGTGGGACTCAGACATGGCTGCTTTATTCAGAACACGCTCCTGTCTCTTAGTGAGGACCCAGCCACCGTCTCAGCTCTTCTCCAGCCCACAGGCCATCTCACTTCTGTTCCACTTTATTGTTGATGTTTTTTTTTAAACATAAATCTAATTCTGTCAACCCCCTCTTACCTGCTCCTAAAATCTTCTGGCTTCCTATTGCTGGCTAGATAAAATCCAGATTTCCTATCCTGACCATCAAGCTTCCAAATACCCACCAATCACACATTCACTCTACCCTTAGAGCACTTTCAACTTCTCATACCCCGGATCTGTCCACAACCCTGGGCATTTACTATCCCTTTGCACAGGAATAAATCTGACCCCTTCTGTCTTTGAGAGCTTTCTACTCATCTGACAAATCTCACCCCAAATAGCAGCATCTCATGAGATCTTCCTAAGCTTCCCAGACTGGTTCAAGCTCTCCCTCTGGGCTCTAGGACCGTGTTTACTGCCATGTAATGATTTGTTTCTATGTCTTTTCTGCTGGATGATGAACTGCTGAAACCAAGGGCTGTTCCTTGTTCCTGCCAGCACTCAGCACAGTGCTTGGCATATAGTAAGTAAGTGCTCCATACGTGCTGATGGAATGAAATGCTTGCATAATAACAGCTTGGACTCCTTGTGATGTATGGAGATCTGAGAGAGTCAGGATCTCAGATAGTAGGATAAGTGGACCTAAAGGAGTACCACCTTGTGTTAGTTACTTCGTAGGCAGAATATTTTTAAAGTATCTATATTTGTAATGGGGGAGCTATGTTAAGTCAGTGTGAAACTAGTGCAACAAATCAGCCATTTCCCACAATCCAGGATAAGGACACGAAGGGTCTCCATGCTTTCAGGAGGACATGCTCACAGGCTGTGTGCAGAGAGCTACAGCCCAGTCCTTCCACTAGGCTGGAATAGGAAAAGGAGTCTTTTAAGGGTTTGCCTTGGGCTATCTTTGACAATCCATGTACCCAGATTACATTTTTATCATGCCCACTGACAGGGGAACTGGAGGTTAAGGGTCAATGCCTGGGCCTTCAACATGAGAAGTGGGGGACTCAATCAGTGCTTCTGCGTAAAGAAGAGAGCAAGGGCTGGATGCGGCAGGAGCACTGTTCATCAACTCCTTCCGGTTCCTCTCTGGGAAAAGCAGCAATGAGTTTTATAATAATGACTTATTAACTAGCTCTAGAACCTGGCTTTCGTAAACTACAGTGCATCAGCATCACCTGGAGCCACATTAAAACCCATGGGCCATGCTGATTGACTACAATAACTTAGTCATCAACCTCATCATTAGATGGGTAGTTTAGGGATTATTGTCCTCATCTGAATTGTAAAGTTGGGCTTTGAGAGGTAACTCACCCAAAGTCACACTGAAATTAAATGGCGGTTCAAGCTCACCAGCCGCTCCTCGGAAACCCTATACAGGATTTCTATGAGTCAGAACCGACTTGACGGCACTTAACAACCACCAGCACTAGAACTTCGAGTTTTGTTTTCTCATTTAAAAAGCAGCTGACTCCATTACACAGGACCCTACAGTGGTCTACCGAAATTGCCGATTATTGGTATAGCCCTGACTCTGGAACTACACTATCACCAGGTGTCTTGGACTGTATCATTGTGAAAGCTCTGAGGTACCTAAGGCAGTGGCCTTGGTAGCTTTGGAGCTGTCATCCCCTGCTCTGGCAGTACCCAGTGCCTTGCCCTGGGTGCCAACAGATGCTTCTCTTTAGAGCTTGTTCTCTAGTACACTCTGTCAGCTGGCCACCTAGTAATGTTTGCCTTTTAGCACCAGCCTGAGAGGCTATTGAGTAGGTCAATGAGGAGAAATGTAAGTTCTGACTCTCCTCTGGCACCCCATTTCTGACTGGGTGTGGGGTACAGAGTGAGACATCCAGTAAAGGGACTAATTGGGGAATCTGTCTGAGCTACAGGTCCCCGTCACACTAGGACTCTTAGAATTCCATGTGGCTTATCTGCCATGCTTCCTCAACTCACCCCTGCCAGGCAACCCCAACTCCCATCCCCATTAGTCATTAATGCCTGTGAGCTTTATCTCTACCCCAGCTCTGACTGGTTTAGCCAGTGCCAACTCTTTCTCCTCACTTCCAACCTTACCCCTTACTCACTGTTTCCCAGAGGAAAATGACTAAATTTTCTCTCACAGTTTAGTCATTATACCATATACAAGACAGAGTCTGAAGTGTTTGTCTTCTTGCCTGATTCACTCAGGCCCTGGTCTACCTTTCCAGTCCCATGGTCCATCATGCTATTGATAATACCATGCTGCTTGTCATCTGTAGTGTCATACTCTGGCATGTGTCCCTGTGCCTGGACATCCCTCTATCACTGTCCCCACCTGCCATCTCCTCCTTTAAGACTCAGCCTAAATACTAACTCCTCCAGGAAACCTTCCCTCAACACTCCTCTTCTACCCAGAGAGCATGAATGTCACCAAAAGGATCTGATGACACAGTGTCATATGTGCTACACTGTGTCACAAGAATCTGATTGATTACCATAGCACATTTGCTTTTTATCCAATAGTCCTAGCACATTGTAGGTGTGTAATAAATGTGTTTATTAAGACAATGAAAAAAGGAGGAATGGGTACTTGTAGAATTCAGAGTACTCCATAGTCTGCCATTGGACAGTGCTATCGCCTCACCTTCTAACCCCATAGCTTCTAGTGCTGTAAACACGGACTAGTAGTTGGTGATAGTGTTTTCCCACTCTGTTTGCTTTGGGTCAATTCGTGTTCCCTGTCTAAATTGTATTTCCCTCAGTTTCACTGTCAATCATGGTCTTTCCTTTAAGGTCCAACTCCAAATGCATCTCCCCAACAACCATGACAACATTCAGTTTATTCTGTAACAGAAATTTCACCAACATTCCATTTAACCTTTACTAAAAACTCTGAATACTGGGTATTGTCATTCCTTTTTTGCCAAAGATGAAATGGAAACTCAGAGAAGCCAAGTGGCTTAGTCAGGGTCTCCCCATCAGCCAGGATGTTCCCCAGCTGAGAGCCAGGTCTCCGATTCCTTCAGGTTAGAAGGCACCTCTCCCTCCTTCTGGTTCAGGGTCTCACAAGCTTTTAGTCACGATCACTTTCCTAGAAGCTTTTTTCAGGCATTTTTTGCCTGAATCACCCCAAGCCCGTGAAATTTTAGCACCACAGATATACTGCATATCAGGCCTTAGTGTGGTTCTGTAGAACAAGAACTGGAGTGCTAACTGCATTAACCACAAGGTTGGCAGTTCAAACTCACCAGCAGCTCTTGGAAACCCTAGACAGGGTTGCTATGAGTCGGAAATGACTCAATGGCACACTGTATATCTGCTTATGCATTGTTGTTGTTAAGTGCCGTTGAGTCAGTTCCGACCCATAGTGACCTTGTATAGGGTTTACGAGGAGCATCTAGTGAGCTTGAACCACCGACCTGGCAATTCAAGCGATTTGCAGTCTGGCACATTAACCCACAATGCCATAGCTGTGTTTTATTCATTTATAAAAATTGAGACTTTTTCCTCCTTTCAAGAACAATTTTTTGCCCCTCTTGGAAGCAATATCACGTCTGTTGGGAACCCATGGTCCATATCTAGTGCACTTTGAGGTTTGTCTCAACTGTTTGCCCACTACACTGGGATTTCTGTGTTCTAGTGACTGGGGATTAGCAACAATCCCTCCAACTCTTACGTGATAGTGTTTTCCCACTCTTTCTGCTTTTGGTCAATTCATGTCCCCTGAATAGATTCTGTGGGCCAGGGATTTGAACAGAGGAAATGAAAGACTTGTCTTTGTTCCATAGTGTTTGAGAACTCAGGTGGAAA